CACACAAGCTGTCCCACTACATTTTGGGGCCATTGTATTATACATATGATGGATATGCCACAAGTCTTCTCCTGGTGGGTGTATAACGCAGTGTGGGATGATCAAATTGTCATTAATTTTGTACATGTTTCATTGGTTCCAAATAAAACAAATTTTTTTTCCTCAACCATTGGAGCGATGGTCAGTGAGTCCAACAGAGAGAAATGAACAATTGATTGACCTGTGAATTAGAAAATGCCATTCAAATGCAGTGCCGTGTTTTCTTTCAAGCTGTCAGTTAACAATTCATGCTCAGAGCTGTCATCCTTCAATACAACGTTGTACGTTTCGCTTTCACACAGGTCTGATTGGTGTCAACATTATTTCATACTTTTCATCCAAACATCGCAAATACTAAATGTCTTGGTCACAAGCCACATGCCTCTTTAACACATCTTAATGGAAAAAGACAGATAGGGGCAGCAGAGAAGTCGTCTTTTGCATTCTCTGCACGAATCATTAACTCCGACGTACTTTGTTAACAGCAACTGTGACTTTTATCAAAAATAAAACTAGCTTTCAGCAGCAGAATATTCATCTGCATGTAAATAATTCCTAAGGCTGGAGAAGGAGCGTGCGGTTTGCTCACAGCTGTGTTGCATGATAGTCGAATCTCTCAGGGCAGGGTTAATTGACACCTTTAGTGCCACAAAACTCACATGTATCTGCTGTTTGCTTTCTGTTTGTCAGCCAAAACGCTTGCACTGCAACCTGGCTCTCTTTGTTGACTCCAAGGCAAAAGTGTGGCTGGTAAACGGGCCGTTCTAGTGCTTTAAAATGCAATTCAGCACTGCTGTACAATCGCTGGCTTATGTTGGGCGAATGAAGCGTTCGCACCCATCCTGCGTTACAGACTGACTCAGCATGTGGCATCGTGTGATCTCAGTTTGTCTGTGCTGCGACTGTCCCCCTGGAATATTTTACAAGGGTTCACAGAAAATGAGCAAATGACTTCTGCAAATCGAAAAGCAGTTGAAATAACCACTGCTGTGACTCGCTTTTTCTGCAAAGATGAATGTGTTTGTAATGATATGTGGCAAATTTCTAAAATTGCAGGTCACGCTTGGCCATTTCAGCAAAATGGACAGGCTCAAAACTGACAAGGTCAATGCCAAGTTATGTTCTGAGATAGAATTGTCTCCTGTGATTATATTAGCACACTTTATTATGAAAATGAATGACTCCAAAGTGCCTTAGTTTTCTCAAAGTTGCCTAAAAATGCTGCATGAGATTTTTAGTACACTAGTCACACAACACTGAGTAAGTACAAATAACATTGACCTTAAAAGTAAATATGCAGAGTATCAGAAGCTTGTTTGATGTTTTTCTCCTCAGCAAATAACATGCCTGGGTGATTTTCTTGTCTAACGAACAAAACTTCTCAGGGAAACAGCATGTAAGTGCAGCTGTTTCACAGAACTGCGATCTCCAATCAATTTGATCATAAATCACATTGTGCTCAGCACAACTGCAAACACCCTTCATGCTGTAAACTACACTAATGTGGGTTTAAGTGGGCTCTCAGTCATGTATCTGCCTAAGGCAGGAGTTCTGAAGCCAGCAGGACAAGGATGAAGAGATTGAGCAGGGGCTTTGGTATGTCCTCACAACCCAGAACCTCCATTCCACTCTCACAGCTGTGTTTATACCTTTCATGTACCATCTGAATACACCCAAGAGTCCTTGGGTAATAAGTTCCTCTTTTTCCACCAAAACGGTGTTGGTGCTTGACAAGAGGAGTTGTGAACTTCGGTCATTTCCTCTGACTTGACAGCCGAACTGTGACATAACAAGCATAGCACAGTCTTACATATGTTCATAATACACTCTCAGAAGAAAATGTACTAGGCTGGCATCTAAAGTTACATCTTTGTATCTTATTTACCCCTAAATGATACATATTAGTACCTTAAAGGTACATCTTAGTAGTTTAAATGTACATATTACTACCTAAAGTGAAGATATTAGAGTGTAGCTTGCATAAAACTCTTACTATTAACGCAGTTTGCAAATTAGAACACTATGAATAATTCAAATCTAGAACAAACTGCATTAAAACGCAGAGGTGCTGAACTCTGTTGCGCAAAAGTGATCATTTTGAAATCTAAGATATTCTGGCAGTGGCAATGGTCGAGTTTGTCACCATCCCAACATGCATACATTTATTCCGATCTGACCTTTTGGTACAGCTTCTGTGTTTTTCCAGTGTGACATGTCATTTAATGCACCGTACTTATCCACCATCTCTGTGTAATTCATCTGTAATCACAGGGATTTTTGCTTTTGTGAGGGTCAACAAGAGATGGGGAAAAAAGCACAGCCCTGCATAAATTTGTCAGCTTAGCAGCAGCCAAGAGTTTTCTAGGTTTGCTATGTTGTTTTATACAGTTCCTTCAGACTAATACATACACTCATAACAGCACTGCTGTTTATAAGAATCAAACACAGAGGTGGATTTTATTGTTTTTATTCTATTAACAGTGAATTGACAAACATGAGACTACATTTTATTAGCATAAAAAATACTAAAAATTCAGTGCATTTGGGGCACAAATGGAAACTTCAAGTGGTTAATTTATATGGATGGATAATGCACAATTTGTATTATTCATGCTAAATTTAATTCACTTTTACTCACGAATTTCATATCCAAACAATGAATGACTATTGTAGCACTACAGTTATTATATTCAGTGGGATATTATGGCCTTCATAAATGTTTTATGTTATAATGCCAATAAAAAACAATTTAAGTTTAGCAGTTTTAAAAAATGTTTGCAGTACCAGGACATATACATTTCGTACATTTATAAAGTTGCATGGTATGAAAAATGCATGATGACAAATTGGTGAGGGGTGGAAAAATAAACAATTTAACTACATTATTCAGCAGCTATTTCTGAGGAATTTTAGTTTAATACGGTTTGTTTGCGGTCTTCAAACAAAGATTAAACCAAACTAGGGTGGTTTGCTGGTCTATGCTGGCTCAGCAGGGCACCAAGTTTGGCCGAGCTGGTTTAAACAGAGTTTTATTCATTAATGAATGTATTATTTATTTACTTGTTCATTTGTACCAAAAACAACCTCAATCTATTCTGGCACAATTCCTAATGGAAGACTGGAAGACAACTGAATGTGTAAATGTAGATCAAACAAGAACAAATAATGAGGTTAACCAACTGTAGCTTGCAGATGGAACTGCAATATTACACAAAATATCAGTGGTGAATACCCTTCAACAAGATCAAATAAACATCAAAAGCTTCACAAGATCCACAACTTTCCTGCAATTAGTGGTGCTTGTATCTTTCTACTACCAGCTGGTAATGAACTTGCTTGTTAAGTAATGGTGATTTAAGCAGACGTTTCAAATGACTGCCATATGGTGAAAATGTTTTCAGGTTGTGTACATAAGAAAAAAATGTGTCCACAAAAAAAGAATTGTAATTCAGCTTTACCATTTACCACTGAAATTTAGGCCGTCAAGTGTTTTGAAATCCATTTTCAACACTCACATAGCACTGACCTGCCCAGACTTGACTTCAACAGAGAATCATGCGTTCACATTATCAAGAGTCAAAGGGTGAGAGTATTCTTAGCGTGACTGCACAAAAGCATGGAAACCCCTTTCACTTTGCTTTTCACTTCCCACTGATATGATTTCTTCAGACACCAGGGAATAATACAAAAAAACCCTCAGCAGCTCTGTGCCATGGTGAATTCATGATTCACTAAAGGTTGACCAGACTGAGGCCTCAAGGAAATGTTCCATTTGAATAGTTTAGGTCCTGTTAATTAGATTAGATTAAATACATGGATCAAAATTCTCTACTGGTTCGGAGAGATCGCAAGGTCATTTAATAAAGGAGACATTATTTTTCTGGGAACAGTAGAGTCCAAGAGCATCACATTTGTGACCCTGCATCACAAAACCAGGCATAAGGGTCAATTTTTTTTTTAAATTGAGATTTATACATCATCTGAAAGCTGAATAAATAAGCTTTAGGATAGCTTGTTAGGATAGGATAATATTTGGCCGAGATACAACTATTTGAAAATCTGGAATCTGAGGGTGCAAAAATCTAAATATTAAGAAAATCGCCTTTAAAGTTGTCCAAATGAAGTCCTTAGCGATGCATATTACTAATGATAATACATTTTTGATATATTTATGGTAGGAAATGTACAAAATATCTTCATGGAACATGATCTTTACTAATCCTAATGATTTTTGGCATAAAATAAAAATCGATAATTTTGACCCATTCAGTGTATTTTTGGCTATTGCTACAAATTTACCTGTGCTACTTATGACTGGTTTTGTGGTCCAGGGTCACATTTTATACCACACATTCCCAGTGAAAAGGGATAGTTCACTCTAAAATGAAAATTCTGTAATTTACTTTTCCTCATGTCATTCCAAACCCATATTACTTTGTTTCTTTCAAATATCCTGGTCACCATTTTTCTGTATAATAAAATTAATTGAGGACAGGAGCTGTCAGGTTTCAAAATGACAAAAAAACGCCATAAAAGTGGTGCACTGAAAGCTTTGTGTGAAGAAAAATATCAAAATGTATATCATTACTCACTGTTATAACCCTAGTGATGTCTGGTTTGTAAACGACTCATTCTTTTGAGTCAGATCTTTTCAATGAATCAGTTGAGCTTGTTTACAAAATTGGTCTGGATGATTCGTTCACGGACTGAATGATCCAAGTCCAGAGAGGAACATTATCAGTGAATGAACCCCTTAAACTTTAAATGGACTGTTCATCACACAAAACTTTTGTACAACTTAGAAAACTTGAGAGGATGAGTCGTATGGCCAGTTTTGTGACACTTTTGTATCCTTTTTGAAGCTTTCATTCATTGTAACTGCACTGAAAAGAGTAACCAGTACATTAATTCAAAAGAAAGTCATTCAGGTGTGGAAAGACATACGGTTGAGCAAATTGTTCAAATTTTCATTCCACTACTCCTTAAACACAATTTCAGCTCAAACTGTGAGAGGAAGCTGCCAGATCATAAGTGTGCTTTCTGCGGTGGTCGCCACTGAACCCTCCCTCAGTCGACGGAAGCCCTTTCCACCCGAGATGACTGCTACCGAGGTAACCCTGTCCCTCCTCACCCCCTTCCTATCGCAGGGTCGACCCCTGACCCACATGTCTGGGTCATCACTGAGTTCATATATAGAGCCATCTTCCATGCTGTGTTCCAAAGATTCTAAAGACGAATCTGAGGCTTCTTCCCCTCTCACGGTTAACGGTCGCCCAGGCAAACCTGAGGTTGAGCGGAGGCGGTACTGTAGCAACACGCCCCGTCCCTTTCTTTTGCCATCTACCTGGGCGGAAATACTGGCCTGCTGGAGAGATTCCTGAGAGGAAGAGTCGCTGCGGTCCTCCACTCCGCAGGCCGAATCATGCCCTTCCACCACAGAATCCCGCTTCAGAAGATCAGGAGACAAAGTGCTGGAAAGGGCAACTAAGAAATCCACAGGCCCGCAGTGTGCATTAAGAGACGTCATCCCCTTACCTGTACAACAGTGAAACAGAGCTCAGAATGCTTTAATCAGTAAAAAGCAGCAATGCCCGAGGGTCAGAGAAACCTTAACATTTGGTAACTGATTTCCATTATTACACATTTAAATGAATATTACTGACTGAAATTACTTTGAATTGAAGGAATAGTTTAGAAAATTGGTCATTATTTTGTCATCATCTGTTGCAGTATTTTTTTCCCATATAAAGGAAAGCTCCAGCTCAGGTGGAAAAACACCATAAAAAGGTTGTTCATATGACTTTAAAATTACATTACCCCAGCAAGTACATGTTCTTTTAAACTTTCTATTCATCAAAAAATCTTGAAAAAAAATGCACCATGGTTTCCACAAAAATTTGGGTGATTCACAAATCCACAAAAAAAACATTTTTATTTTGGAAGTGAACTAATTCTTTAACAAAGCTCTTTAAATCATGTAATTGTTCTATCATTGTAGAAGAGACTTTCCAAAAGGAATAAAGGCACTTATGTATCATGAAGAGCCATCATCTGATCTGTGTACCTGTAATTTTGGGGATGCCCTCCAGCTTGGGCACAGGCAGGGTGATGATAATGCCCTGGGCAGTTCCCACCCACAGCAGCCCCTGATAAATCAGCAGGCTGGTAACTCTCACGCTCTTTTGACCTTCAAAAAAAAACAAAAAAAAAACAACAACACTGAGTAACCTGTTTTTATCTATGCAGTATGATAGTATTTTTACTCTATACTTTGAAAGAACAAACTGTGCTCTAAAACTATGAAAAGCACTCTCCTGCTTGTATATCAACAATTATTATTTCTGTAGAGACTCCGATTAAAACCCAGCACACTGCTGACTGCACGCCCCCTCCATCACAGCTGTGCTTCTCACATCAGCTTTATTTAACTGGTCAATTATAGCAGTGTGCAGGTATGACAACATTTAGATCGCTGTTTGGGGAAAAAAAAACAACAACAAAAACAACATGGAACATTTAAATGGCTTTATTCACAGTGCCCAAATCCCTGACCTTGGGTCTTTAGACATCAGAAAGCCACCACAGCACAATGAAATCAAAGAACAACAGCACAGCAGAGAGTTCAGCAAGTATGGATGGTGGCCGCATGCTCGTATTATAAAGCTTGCTTTGCATGAGTGATAGGTAAGTGGCTAATTGATTTGTTTTCACGGCATGCTGTCTTTAGGTTGCTACAGTACTTGGGGAGACTTTTGCAAATGAAGCATTTTCAGTTTGGTAGTTAGTCACCACGAAATCAGTGAAGGTCATGAAAAAAACATTAGCGAATGCACTGCATTAGGCAGAATTCCTTCTTAGAAATGTCAGCTGTCCAGTTCTGCAGAGCATTCACCTATTATACATTCTTTTTCTGTGCAAGAGGGATCACCTTAATAATAGATTGTCAAATAAATCTGCAGTTCTGCAGTAATGCATATGAATTCATGAATGCTGAAAACATAAGATGCTGAGGTTTGGGGAAAAAAAATGCATCTTGCATATTTTATTAGATCTCCTTGTAGTTGACACACAATGTGTACTTGGATTCTTTCTCCATTATAACTATCAAGATTTTAGGTTAAAAAGTATTAAGTATTAGTATATAAGGTTCAAACTGTTAGTTCAAGAGCTAACATGAAATACCAATAAAGAATACATTCACATAATTTTTCTACATATGTTCACACATTTTAACACAAAGTTGTATAAATTAATACTAGTGGTGTATTATAAACAAACAATAATATATTTTTAAATTAACATTAATTAATTGAATGCATTAAATAATGTTAAAAAGTTGAAACTTTGTCAAAAGTGTTCAAAGTGTTACCATATAAATATAGGAAAGTGTGTGTCTTTGGTCCTGTAACTGGTAATAACAGTTTTTTTCAATGCATTTGATTTCTTTTCAGTTTTCTCCTTCACTCTTAAAATGATTCAAATATCATATTTTATTAGATCTCCTTGTAGTTGACACACAATGTGTACTTGGATTCTTTCTCCATTATAACTATCAAGATTTTAGGTTAAAAAGTATTAAGTATTAGTATATAAGGTTCAATCTGTTAGTTCAAGAGCTAACATGAAATACCAATAAAGAATAAATTCACATAATTTTTCTACATATGTTCACACATTTTAACACAAAGTTGTATAAATTAATACTAGTGGTGTATTATAAACAAACAATAATATATTTTTAAATTAACATTAATTAATTGAATGCATTAAATAATGTTAAAAAGTTGAAATTTTGTCAAAAGTGTTCAAAGTGTTACCATATAAATATAGGACAGTGTGTGTGTCTTTGGTCCTGTAACTGGTAATAACAGTTTTTTTCAATGCATTTGATTTCTTTTCAGTTTTCTCCTTCACTCTTAAAATGATTCAAATATTTTCATGTAGTCCTTCAATTAATAAGAGGTAATAAAAGCTGTATGCTTAATAATATAAGAAATGCAGTTTAAAATAATTTTAGATGGTGACATCTGATTTGATCATTCAAACTGATTACTATTATACAAAATTATTTAATTTCAGCTAACTACTATACGACATTAAGGGCAGGAGTTTAATATAATATAATATAATAATATATTTCAAAGTTTATCTTTGATGTAATATCAACTTCCCCTATGGATCAGATGTCTGGCTTGCTTATCTTGTCTGAAGGTTCTAGTTGAGGAGAAACTGCAGAATAATCGGTTCACTGTAAGACAATAATTAATTCATCACCCATCACTTGGATGCAAACCTGTGGGATTAGCAGACCATTGATCTGTAATAACTATATCAGTCCTCCTATGCGTGATGTGTACAGATTAGCATATAGGCTTTGGAAGATGGGGAAGAAGGCATCTGCCAAAGCTTATTTTCACTTTTGTGCTCCGTTGACTGTAAACCCCCTGACATAACATGAAATCGCAGTGTTACCTCACCCAACATGAACTACATATTTAAACACAGCTAGCTGTGAAAGTTCGACAACAGCCTCGGGGTCACAGGACCTTCGCAGACATCTTTGCCACAATACTCTCCTTTTCTCCTTCACATGTCTTGTGAAATACAGCTGTAACTTTGATCCAAAGGTTTGATGTTCTCGCTGTTTGACAAAAAAAAAATAACTAAGGTATATCTTTCTTCTCTTTGTTTTTAATGAGACCCAGCTGTAGCAACAGGCCAGTTGACATTAACTTGCTCTGGCCAGTTCCTGAAGTTTGTTACACCACTTTGGGTTTATTTTTCTCCTTCTGCTTTCTATTCCACTTGATCGCAATTGTCTGTGACTGGAGAATCATAGGGGTTTTTTTAGCTAAAAGTGGACAATCGCATTCAAGTGAAATCAAACATTATTAGACAGTCTGAAAAGAGTGATTCTGCGAGCTACTGGAGCGATGCCGCCAAGATTTTCTCTTTATATGGTCTGATGTGTGGCGCTGAATTGCACTGAAGCGACAATTTGCTGTGTGGATACTTAAAGGGGTCATGGACTGAGAAATCAAAAAATCCCTTGACATGTAAGAGGTCATTGTACCATAAAAACATCCTGTAAGTTTCTAAACTCAAAACTTTCTTGTTAGTCTAAAAACAGCTTATATTGAAGCCAGTCTGCCAAAATGACAGCTTGTGGAATGTGTCACTTTATGACGTAATAGTGTGGCTAAAC